CAAAGACAGTGTTTTATAAATTTGCCCATTTAAAAAGAAGTGGACTTCACCCCCCAAAATCCCCAGGCAGGCGTGCCTGCCTGGGGAATTCTGGGAGTTGAAGTCCACTCATCTTAAAGTGGCCAAGTTTGGACAACACTGTCCTAGGTGGTGGTGGAGGTGTTTAAAACATAGTTTGGATGGCCATCTGTCCGGGATTCTGGGCAGAGGGTTGGACTAGATGACCTTTAAGGCCACCTCCACTTTCCCTTTCTAGTATTCTATGAACAGACTCCCTCAGCACCACCTCAGGCCTTGGTCTTCATTGAAGGTCTTCAGGCAGAAACCAAAGAGCCATCTGTCCAGGATGATATAGTGATGAATCCCTACACAACGCAGGGGGGTTGGACTAGATGACCTTGGAGAACCCATCCAACGTCCCATTTTACTAGACTATAAAAAAAAAGCAGACTAAATGGCAACCGTCCTAAATTGGGGGCCCCGTTGGGTGTGTTGGCTCATAGTTTCCATGGTTCACAGCCCAGCTAGTGCCTGGGAATTTGGGGTGTTGTTATCCAAAATCTCTGCAAGGCACCGTGTTGATGAAGACTGCAACGCAGGAGCTGGCGAACTCTCTGGGTCCAGAAATCAAATAGCTTTCCTAACAAAGTGACATCAACCTGGGCAGAATATTATTTCACTGGATGTATTTCTGTGCCACAGCTTCTTGGAGAGTTCACAAGCCCGCTAAAGGAATAAAATATACCACACCAGGACAGCAGAATAAAATGGCAGATTAAAATCAACAGGGAGGATGATCTAAAACTTTTCAAGCGAGATTTAAAATGCCTGAATGAATAAAAAGATGAGTTTTTTAACTTGGTGTCTGAGCTTAAAAAAAAGAAGAACGCTCCTAGTTTTACCCCCAGTTGCTATATTTATGGTTCCAAAACAGAATGTGAGCATCCTTGGGAAGGTAAGATCTTTTTTTATTAGGAAATGGTAGAAGACTCCTTAAAAGTGGAGGCAAAAATACAGAGGCAGTATTTATAGCCAAACCAATGCGTGTTTATTCCCAGTCTTGTAGCATTCAGTGGAATATACACTCCATTAAATGTGTAGAATTGTAGCCTTAGCTAATGTTCCTTCCAGTCAATCCGCTAAAAGATTCTGGAATAATTTTAAAAGTTGCCTTGGAGCCCGTGCGTGTGCGTACGTGTGCTTAAAATAATGTAACTGACAAAATAAAAGAGTGCCAGAGACAAATTATGGGACCTGGGAGCCATGGGCCAGGAGGCCCATCCCTAAAAGATACCCAGCTTCCTTTCCTTTGTAAAGGACATAAAGCCAAGGGCTGTTCGCTCTAATTTATTTAGGAGATAAACAGCATTCGAAATTAATGACAGCCGCAGGAATTGCTAGCTGTTTTTGCAAGATTCCCTATAGTGGGCTTGCTCCGTTCACAAAGCAAATGCATGCTTGCACGCCTGCCCGCGTTTCTGCACAATTGGGTACATTCATGTGCTAATTGATGCCCTCGGTCAACGACTCTGGCCCTATCAATTAAGATTTCTTTAATGGCTTAGCAATAATAGGTGAGAAAAAGACCTCGGAAATCTTGTTGCTGTCAGGTTGGAGAGGAGTCAGCTGGGTGATATAGCTGGAAAAAAGGAAAGGAAGAAAGCTGTTTTTAGTTGGCCTCAGAAGATGTTTTCAACTCTGGGGAAATAATGTTTCCGGTTTGGTGAGACCCCGCCAGCGAGACCGTGTCTCGTTCTGGGGGTTGCGTTCATCGGGATGGGTTCCACAAAAGGCAGGAAGGATGATCAACAGAGCAAAAACGAAGTCCTGTGAAGGATTTTGGAGGAGGCTGTCCTCCAAAAGGCCTTGGAGGAGAGACTTCAGAAGGTCAAGACCTGTCCTCCATTGTTCCAGAATGGAGGACATGGAATAACAGACTGGAGTTATAGGAAAGCCGACATTGCTTGAATGAGAAGGAAGACTTCCAGACAGGAAGAGCTGTTTTCAAAGGAGAATTCATGCTTAGAGGGGGGTCTCCCCTTCCCTGGATGTGCTCAAGAAGATGATGTTGGGAATGCTTCAATGATTCCTGCCCCCAGCAGGGGTTGGATTGGATGACCCCAAGGTACCCTTCCAGTTCTGGGTTTGTGGGACCTTGAAGCTCACTGCATCAGTTAACTCAGCGTTTCTCAACCTTAGCGACTTTAAGACGTGTGGACTTCAACTCCCAGAAT